GAAATTTGAATAATAGTGTGATTAATTCATAACAATTTAGGGTAGAATATCCTGCTTGAGAAATAAAATTTGACATCAACATTATTCAGTCCCGTTCTCCCGTCATTTCAAAACTGAATGCTGAGCTTTACCTGCGTGCGCAGCTTTTCAAACAGAAACAGACACCACGGTTCATAAAATATTTTTTTTCTTGTGATAAAGTTACTTTGATAACTGCACCTAGTTTCTAAGTTTTGGAGCATTCAAAAAAAAGAAAAAAAAAGAATGAAACTCCTTTATTTTTATGGAGCTGTTTACCCAGTAGAAATATGCAGATCCACCTACTTACATGTTTCCAGCGAATCCAGCTGTTTTTTTCTTGGTGATCACGTGATCTGGGGGTTTACACTTTATTGCGACGTCTTGATCATTCATTAAAACGACGCCAGGAACTTGTGGAAACCAAATCCTCACCAGAAGAAATTCCTAAATTAAACAAGAGGGAATTCTCAATAGCCGCGACACTTGAAATTCTTTTAGGCAGGATGAGAGTAAATTAATCTATGAAACTTTTGTTTCCCTTTTTATTAGCTATATTTTTGTGCGCCAGCAATACTAAGCGTGGGGCGCGCGTATACCCGATTCGATTTTATTACTCATCAGGATCTCTACTAGCCTACCCTCAAATTGAAATTCTTTTAGGCAGGATTAGAATATATTAACTTATGAGACTTTTGGCAGGGTCAAATACATCATTCGAAAGGGTTTGACCTGCTGAGTCGAAAACTGTGATTAGATCTCAAATCGCTCAAAAGATGACGGAGCTATGAGCTAAAAGTTTTTATTTGAAAAAAAACAACAATGAAAAACTCAGAGTCGTTCTGTGAGCCGATATGCCGCGGCTAAAAATACCAAATTACGGTTTGATTGAAAAACGCAAGACATAATTAGTTCTTTTTTTTAAACTTTCTTAAGATAGTCGCCCGGCATGGCCAGGTGGTTAAGGCACTCGACTCGCAATCTGAGGGTCACGGGTTCGAATCCCTCTCACACCAAACATGCTCGCCCCTTTCAGCCGTGGGGACGTTATAATGTGACGGTCAATCCCACCGTTGGTAAAAGAGTAACCCAAGAGATGGCGGTTGG